GGAACACAATAGTCTTTGAAGAAGACAACATAGAGAGCAGTAGGGAAATTCATGGTGCATGTGAACAGGTTATAACAAAACAAATGAGGAATTTTTAAGTATAAAAGATGTCAATATGGGAATGTATGATGGAAAAAGATGATGAGTTGGTGACATGGTAAATGTATGGAATGATATACACTTGAATAGTTTAAATGATCAACTGGTATACTCAAGATGTTAGGAGAAATAAAGGAAAGCCTCTGGCACATTGGATGGACTGCTTGAGACTAACTGATGGGAGATAGGAAGCCATGGACAAGAGTCAAACAAGATCAGCAGGCATGGATGCATGGTGATCTGCATCATTGGAGCAAACACTAACATCCATAAGATCACCTAAGCATTTGAGTTTTGGTATGCTCAATATGTTTCATGGCATTTGATATAAAAAAGGCATTTATTAAATACTTTCTTAGTTGAATTATTTTTACTTTAAATACTGATGGCAATGTAAAATCCTATCTTCTTACTGTGTGGTGTGTTGTCCAAAGGCAAAGAGCTAGGATTTTAGAAACCTGAAATGAGGAAGAAGACAGAGAGGAGTGAGGCTTGGAAAGAAAAAAAAAAGAATTTTAATCTGATCTATGCTCATTTCTCTTCTCCAAATTGCTGGTTGTGCCTCCTCCTGAGTACTCACAATTGTTACACTATTGTACTCAGGCTTTTTAACATGTCTAGATAGAATTTAAGCATATGGTATTAATGTTATAATTAGCCTTTTTAACAGCTTTGTTTAAAACAAAGGAAGAACTTTTTTTATTTTAATATTTTAATAATATTTTCCATAGCATTGTGTAAGTGAATAAGGTTGTTATATAGTTGAATATAATTGAAATAAACTGTTGCCAAAGTTTCTCTATAATTTCTGCTAAATAAACAAAATATTCTTTAGATAACTGGATGATTGCACTGTCACATTCATCTCTCTCTCCCTCAAAATTGAATTAAGGGCTCCATAAATCTACCTTTGCTCTTGGTTTGCTGATTCTGCAAAGCTGTTTGTAAACAAATTGGCAAAGCTTGAAAAATCATCCTTATTGAACAAAGGTAATATATTTTTTTATGTATTGACTTCTGTGTGATTCAATTTGCACTAAGTATCCAAGTAACCTTTATAAACTGCCCTGTGAACTTAAAAGCAACTTTGCATTTTGTGGTTCACTTTTCCTTTACAATGTGGTTTTGAAAGTGATGACCCAGCTTTTTAGACTCTTAGAATGCAGGCGTTTTAGCCAAGTAATGAAAATGAGTGGCTTCCAAAAGACTTAGAATCATAATTAAAAATTGGGAAATACGCTTTTTGGGAAAACAGATATAATTAATTAATTTGAAATTACTTTTCAATTATCCTGATGATTAAGTTAGTGCAAAGCAAATGGCCTAAACCTTATTTACATGAAAAAACCCTGAATGCTTAATTTTAAAATTTAGTAATTTTAATAAAATTTAAAATCAACCTTTTTGTCCATTGCAGATCAGCATCCTTCATTTGGAAGCATTCACCCCAAATGAACAATTTACGTGTTTGAGGATATTTCTTGCACCCTTTATTTAGAATATCACACACACATGAACATGTCTAAACTATTTCAGGTATATCTCCTTACCACATCTGGAGAATTGTATTCAGTTCCAAGTCCAGGTGTTACAAGGGTTTGCTTACTGTCTTGTACATAATGGGTGCTTGATAACTATTTGTTCAATTGAACTGAACCAAATGGAACAAATAGAATGGACTTGATTAGAATAGCTAGGACTGGTACAGGATCATTAAAGTACTTGAGACTATGCCATATGAGGATCAGTTGCAGGTATTTAGTCTGTGGAAAAGAATACTTGGAGGGGAGATTGGGAGCATGGGACATGATAGCTTTCTTGAAATGTCTGAAGTATTGTTACATGGAAGAAGGGAAAGACTTGTGTTTCTTGGCTCCAGAAGCAAAATTAGAAACAATGGGCGAAAGTTTCCAAAAGAATCATTTTTAATATAGAGGAAAACTTTTAACACTTATTAAGTGGCTACTATGTGCCAGGCACTGTGCTAAGTGCAATTAGAGCTTTCCAAAAGTATAATGCGCTGCCTCAAAGTAGTAGCAAGTTTCCCATTTCTAGCAATCTTCAGCTAAGCCTGTATGCCATGTGTGTATGTCATAGTATAACTGAGGGGATTCATGTATAGACATGGGCTGGACTAGAACTAGATGACATCTGAGGGCTTTTTCAACTCTAAAATTCTCTCATTACTTTGTGAGATGTGCCTTGTGAGAGGGAAGTTCTAAATAGCTGTTACTAAATTAAAACATGTCAGTTATTTTCTTCATGATTTATGGGTTTGGGGCCAGGCTTTTAGTTCCTTTTGAACTAAAGATGACTTCATGCCAGAATGTGATTTTCAATATTTGTTCAGTACTGATAATTATGCCTCAAAAAAAGGAAGAAAAGAATGTCAATGAAATATTTTAAATCTACACAGAAGAAAGCAGAAGGAAGTTCAGAAAGAGAAAAGCAGTCAAATTTTGGAAATATCCTATTAAATTTATTACATACTTAAAAAAAAGAATAAGGTTGGCTAAGAAATAGAGTAGTGGATCAGTGGAATAGGTTAAGTATGAGAGACACAGTAGTCAATGACTATAGCAATCTATTATTTGATAAACCCAAAGACCCCACTTCTGGGATAAGAACCCACTCTTTGATAAAAACTGCTGTGAAAACTGAAAAAGAGTATGGCATAAACTAGGCATTGATCAAAATCTCACACCATATACCAAAATAAAGTCAAAATGAGTTCATGATTTAGATATAAAGGCTGATACTATAAGCAAACTGGGAGAGCAAGGAATAGTTTACCTATCAGATTTAGGGAAAACAGAAGAATTAATGACCAAACAGGAGATAGAGAATATTATGAAATGCAAAATGGATAACTTTGATTACATTAAATTGAAAAGTTTTTGCACAAACAAAGCCAAGGCAAGTAAGATTAGAAAGAAGGTAGAAAATTGGGAAAGACTTTTTACAAGCAGTGCCTGTGATAAGGGCCTCATTTCTAAAATATACAGAGAATTAAGTCGAATTTATAAGAATACAAGTCATTCCCCCACTGATAAATGATCAAAGGATATGAATAGGCAGTTTTCAGATGAAGAAATCAAAGCCATCTATAGCCATATGAAGAAATGCTCTAAATCACAACTGATTAGAGAAATGCGAGTCAAAACAACTCTGAGGTACCATATCACACCTATCAGATTGGCCAATGTGACAAAACAAGAAAATGGTAAATGTTGGAGAAGATGTGGGAAAATTGGAACACTAATACATTGTTGGTGGAGTTGTGAAATGATCCAACCATTTTGGAGAGCAATTTGGAACTATGCCCAAAGGGCTATAAAAATGTGCATATCCTTTGACCTAGAAGTAGCACTTCTAAGGAATGGGAAAAGGACCCACATGTACAAAAATATTTATAGCAGCTCTTTTTGTGTGGCAAAGAATTGGAAATTGAGAGGATGCCCATCAATTGGGGAATGGCTGAACAAGTTGTGGTATATGAATGTAATGGAATACTATTGTGCTATAGGAAATGATGAACAGGCCGACTTTAGAAAAACCTGGAAAGACTTCTATGGTCTGATGCTTAGTGAAGCGAGCAGAACCAAGAGAACATTGTTCACAATAACAGCCACATTGTGCGATGACTAATATTGATAAACTTAACCCTTGTCAGTAATACAAGGATCTAAGACATCTCCAAAGGCCTCATGATGTAAAATGCTATCCACATCCAAAGAAAGATCTATGGAATTTGAATGCAGGTTGAAGCATACTATTTGCTATTGTTTTTCTCTTCTGTTGAGTTTTGTTTCTTCTTTCTGGTGGTTCCTCCTATTGGTTCTAATTCTTACTTACAACATCACTAATGTGAAAATATGTTTGATAAGAATGTATATGTATAGCCTATATCAGATTGTGTGCCATCTTAGGGAGGGTGGTGGGGAGGAAGGGGGAGAAAAATTTTCACCTCAAAAGCATATGGAAGTGATTGTTGATAAATCAAAATAAATTAAGAAAAAAAAGAAATTTGTATTTTTTCCTGGCTTCTACTTAAATTTCTCAAAGCTTTTGGACATTAAGTAAGGTTACTTACATACTTTCCACAATGTGAGATGTGCTTTGGTGAAAACAACACCATTCATTCATCCAAGATATGTTTATTAAACAACTTATGGCAAAGATATACCAGTTTTTCATCTCTATCTTTATTAGTGTTTCCCCTTTTATTTTTTGTGGTAAGTTATTCAAACTGTGTATGTAATGAGTTGTTGTTTTTGTCTTTCATTTTTGAAGAGACCAATGACATGATGGGGTGATCTCTTGACTTGCCTGTGAATTGGATCTAAGTGAGGCAGAGTTGCACAAAGTCACCAGCTTCACTCTTTCATCCAGAGTCATTGAAGTCTAGTTGAAGGACAAGTGTCAAGATGATTTGTGATGGCCTGGGATGCAATGGATGACCTTGGTGTCTTTGATATCTGACCAACCTCCAAATGCTTCACAGTGCCTGCTTCAGCCAACTTCATGGCTGTTGGAACAAATTTTTTCTCATGGTTCTTTCATTTGTTTTCCCAATTGTTCTCCCATTCCACCAGGGTAAGTCTTCACATGCTTAGGGTAGACATCCCCCTAACTCATGAATGGGTGTGAGGCCTATTGATTACCCTCAAGCTTCTTTAGCCTGTCTGACAAGACAGTTTACTGTGGTGTGGCCATTGCATAAGTTACAGCTTCTTGAAGCAACAGATGAGATTTGGGTGAAAGGTGGATACCAAAGGTAGATGAACAGCTCTGAAAATGGCTTGTCAAGCTCTCACACCAGAAGTCCTAGTGCTAGTGAAACACCTTATACAACCCATGTAATGGGGTTACCAAGCCATTGAAAAGTTACCAGTCAGTCAATCAATCAATACATATTTATTGAAGGCCCATTTTATGCTTTACCTCTGTGTGGAGGGGGGAAAAGCATGGTCCCTGCTCATGAGAAGCCAATAATTTAGTACACTTTTAGTTTGCTACATTACATACAGTAAAACGAATACCTGGTTCAACTTAGATCTTTTGTCTATGTCATTTATCTGAGGTTGGAGCTAATGTCAGATGTTTCATTCCCAGAATAAGAGTTTGGGCTTGTCCAGAGTTCATTTGGTTGTGGACCTAAAAAAATAGAATAGGTTGAGTATGGTAGAGACTAGAGAATTAATCAATTAATCAACAAGCGTTTGTTAATCTCTTAGTTCATGTTAAGCAATGTGCTAGCTACTAGATATTTAAAGAGAAAAGTTAAATACTGAATGGCAACACGTAATTTCTATTCTATCAGGGAAACAACATGTATATACTCATAGACATCAAAGTACACATAACAAACATGTATGTGTGCATATGCCATGTGTATTGTCTATACATGTATGAAACATATATGTATATGTATGTAGAAATGTACACAAAGAGTAAATACAAGGTAATTTGGGGGAAGAGGGTACAGGCAGAGCTGATAGATCAGAAAGAAACTCCATGGCACTTCATCTGAGTTTTGAAGGAAACAAGTGATTCTAAGAGGCAGAGGTGAAGAGGAAGTACATTTCAGTCTTGGGGGATAGACAGTGCCAAGGCATAGAGACAGGAGATAGGATATTCTGGGTGAGAAATAGCAAGAAATTGTCTTGATCACAGAGTACAGGAAAGGAAGGAATGTATAACCAGGCCATGAAGACAGGTTGGGTCCAGGTGATGTTGGGCTTTAACAGATAGAAGGGTGGGGCAGCTAGGTGATTCAATGGATACAGCATGAGCCCTGGAGTCAGGAGGACCTGCAGACACTTACGAGCTATGTGACCCTGGGCAAGTCACTTAACCCCAATTGCATCAAAAAAAAAAAAAAGCTAAAGGGATCTCATATTTGATCCTAGAAACATTCAGAAGCCATTGTAGTTTATGGGTTTAGGGAGTGAAATAGTCAAAATTGCTTTAGCAACTGTATGAAAGTCAGATTATAGTGTGGAGAGATTGAGGCAAGAAGATGAAGAAGGAAAGTATTGTAGCCAGGCAAAAGGATATGAGATCCTAAACTTGGCTGGTGGCTATATTAGTAGAGAGGAAGGGAAGATGTTGTAGAGGCAGTTATATGACACAGAGGGTGGAATGTTGAACTGGAAGTCAGTTAGACCTGAGCTCAAGTACTGCATCAGACACTTAAAAGCTGTGTGGTCCTGGCCGAGTCATTTAACCTCAGCCTCGGTTTCCTCATCCGTAAAATGAAGATAATAATGGCACCCACCTCACAAGGTGAGGATCAAATAAAATAATCTATATAAAGTGCTTTACAAATCTTAAAGCACTATGTAAATGCTAGCTCTTATTGCCATTTTTTTATTGTAGAATTAGAAATGACACTATTTGCCAACTAATGGGTTATGTGGGGTAAGCAGGAGTGAAAAATTGAGAAAGACAACAAAGATGGGAAGATAGTGGTGCACTCAACAGTTATAGATGTTTGGAAGAGGTATAGGTTTGTGGGGAAAGTTAATGAGTTTTGCTTTGGATATGTTAGCCTGGAGATGTCTGTAGGATATCTGGTATAAAATGTTTAGTAGATAGTTGGAGATTACTGGAGCTCTTAAATATATAGAGAAAGGATAATAGGCAAAGTAGGAACAGAGACCCACTTCTAGGGAACTCTAGACTATTGAGATTTCTCTACAAATTTGAATTTGTTTTGGTCCTACATTACCTCAATATTTAAGATTCTACATTAAAGAACATACAAATATACCATTGGTCCTTGCTCCTATAGAGATTACATGATAGTTTCAAATGAATCTGATCCATAGAGAGACAAGGACAGTCCTAAAGCAGCAAATATGAATAGATGTGTTCCAGTTTTAATGTTCAAATTAATAGTGCTAGTCAGTTTTAATGCATTAAGTAGTGTGTTACTCAGTTTTAAGGTAGTAAGTTTTAAAAAATGAAAAATGAGGATGTTGCATGATCTTACTGTAACATTCTGTGCTTTCTGTGATGCAGCATGAGGAACACATTCCATGGTTTTAATGTGTGTTTTCCCCCTCTGTTATTTGTCCTTTATATTCTGAAGAAGAGAGTTCTGAGAAAATAACAATTGAAATATCTATTCTATCTAATCTTCTTCTCAAATAGCTGCCTTATAGGAGCACCACTTATCCTAATATGTTCCGTTTCATCTACTTTGATCTATGTCATGACATGTATAGTTAATTAGACCTTACAAATAACTCTTAGATGGTTAGCGCCCCTACATCAGGAAGTCATTAGAATCTGACCTCTCAAACAGTCAAAGAAGGGGATGAGTCATACACAGCTCTTGAGGTTGACTTGGAAAGGAATCAAGAAGGAGGCAAAAACATTGGATGATCATTTGCCAGTAATGCTGAGTGGAGGTAGGTGCACACAGGGAAACTGAAAGGAAGTACAGTGAAGGAATGATCAAGGATATATGGTGATATTTTAAACCTAAAGAATCATAGATTTGGGATCCACAAAAGGCATTAGAGATCATCCAGTCTAGCTCCCTCATTTCACAAATGAGGAAATCATATCTTAAGTAGGGTGAAATGGATTTTTCTATGATTTGGCCTTTGATAAAGGTGTGCTTGAGGTTATTATAAGACGTTAGTCTGGGCATTACAAACCATCGGTAAATAGCAAATGAGATTTGGCAGATAGGTGGTACAGTGGAATCAGGAAGACTCATCTTCCTGAGTTCAAATCTGGCCTCAAATACTAACTAGCTGGACAAATAACTTAACCCTATTTGCCTCAGTTTCCTTATCTATAAAGTTAGCTGGAGGAGGAAATGGCAAACTATTCCAGTATCTTTGCCAAGAAAACCGAAAATGGGGTCACAAAGAGTTGGACATGCCTGAAATGACTGAATAACAACAACAAAGAACCTTCAAAAAAGGATTACAAACTGTAAGAGAATCTACCCCATTGCAGAAATGGAAACTGTAGAACAGAAATGTTCTTTCTACCCCAGGAACTAATTGTTCTCTTGGACACCAAGACTCCGAACTGAGTCTTGAATGACTAAGTTTTCCTTAAAGTCTGACCTCTCCAGACTGCTTGCTTTCATTGTTCCCTCTCTAGTGGATGACCACTCTGTTTTATGTAAAGATGGCTTCAGAGACCTTCCCCATGATCAGATCCTGCTTGTGAGGTGAGATGCACTTTATGCCTGTGTCTTGGGCTGAAGTGATGGATATTTGCAGTATGCATGTTAAAAGCCTGAGTGCTTTCTAATAAGCAATCAGTGACATAAATGAAAGTGGGCATTTAGAGGGAATAAAAATGCCTACTCTGTTTTCATATTCTCTAGATCACTGTTCTTTTAAACTTGTCAATATATGTGAATTTTGATGAATAGTTATCATGCAAACTTGTATAGTGATCTCTAGTAATTATCAGTGACACAAAAGTTGGTATTGGAAGAGAATAAAATACCTAATCAGTTTCAATATTCTCTGGGCCATATTTCTTTTAAATGTGCACAATACATGTGAAGTTTGAGAAATAATTACTATGCAAACCTGTGTAGTGTCCTTCTCTAGCAAATATTCCCGAATTTAAAGCAGCCTGGGATTTAGGGGCCTGAAAAAGCTCCCTGATATTTTATACTTTGACAAAGACTGCAATATAGAACACAAAGTGCTGGTTTATGAGTCAAGAAGCCAGGCAAATGTCTCTGGGTGCTGTTACATATTTGGAAAGGTCATTAATGAATTTTTTTTCTGCTATTATCTCATACAATGCCAGTGCTTCTGAGCCCTATCAATAGGCTATTATTGTTGATGAGTATTCATGATCCACCCACAAACTTTCACCCTTTCTCCCCAGAGGGGAGTGGCAGGCACTTGGGAGATACCTGCCAAAGGCTAGGAAGTAGATACAGGCCATAAAAGAGAGCAAGCTAATTGACCTTTACAGGAATTTACTATGGCCTCTTTCCCCAATGCCCCAACCAATTGAACCAATTACTATAGATTTGTCTTTCTGTAACATAGGCAGTTTCTTACCTGTATCTGATCTCATACTTCACTATATTTGGTGATTTCAGAGGCAGGATCAGCCAGAAATTTTTCCTTCTTTCCTCACCTTCAACCTTCTAATAGAAAGAGAAAGGAAGGAAATCACTGTGCCTCACCTCCTCATCCCCAATATCTGTGACCCACCACTACCCCCAGCAGGTCTGTATAGGAAAGGTGGGGAGATTGAAGTCCTGTTCTAGTGCTCATCCTTTCTACCATTCTCTCCATCCTTTTTCTTTCCTTCTCTCCCCCATTCTAGCACTGTTACTTGTCAGTAAGAATATTCTTGTCAGAGGGTATGGAAAGGTAACAGAAGGAAAAAATTATTTTAAAAAGGAAGACAAAGGAAGGAGGCAGGAAGGGAGAGAAAGGTAATGGAGAGAAAAAACAAGGGGAATAGAGAGGAAGGAAATAAGGGCAGAGAAAGAGAAGTGGGAGGGTAGGGAAAAGGAAGGAGGAGAAAGAAGAGAGGGGGAAAGGAGGAAGAGAACAGAGAAGGGAATGGAGGAAAGGAGAAAAAAGAGGATAAGAGGAAAGGGAAGAAAAAAGAAAGGAAGAGAATGGAAGGAGAGGAGGAAGAGGAGAGAAAAGGAAGTGAGGAAAAGGGAGGGGAAGAGAAGGGAAAGAAGAGAGAAAAGAAATTGGGAGACAGAAAGGAAGAAAGGGAAGAGAGGAAGGGAAGTGCTAAAGGGAAGGGAAGGGCAGGGAAGAGCAGGGGAGAGCAGAAGAGTGAAAAGTTCATCTTCTCTTCCCATCATGGTGATCCATGATGTTCTTCCTCATCTCTGCTTTTTACCTTCTGCCACCTTTCCCCCATTCCCACCACCTTCATGACAATAATATTAAAGGAGAAAATGAAGAAAATGGGAGAGGGATAGAGAAGAGTAAAGGAAAGTGTCAGTTTCATACTAGATGTGCTCCTCATTATTCTCACACCCACACACCCCTTCCCATCCCCTCCGTAGTACAACACCTAGCTATCCTTAGTGCCCAAACCCAAAAACTAAAATCTCAACTTTCCAATCATGTTCTATGGCCCCAATTGCTATCTTACTCAGAGTATCCCTTTTAGTTCTTCAACCAGCCACATCCTGTCCCAAGGAGTTTTGATAGGTATTGGGTGGTGGTGGAGGTGGGGGTGGTTGTGTGTGTGTGTGTGTGTGTGTGTGTGTATGTGTGTGTGTGTGTGTGTGTGTGAGTGTGTAAAAGGGCCACAAGAGGCTGAGATTCCTATCTTCCCACAGTAACTCTGTTTCATAGCAGAAATTCCCAAACTGATTTAATGATAAAACATTTTTGAATATGAAATAGATGCTATTGGGGGCAGCTAGGTGGCTCAGTGGATAGAACACTGGCCCTAGAGTCAGGAGGATCTGAGTTCAAATCTGGATCAGACACTTGACAAATACTAGTTATGTGGTCCTGGACAAGTCATTCAACCCTTATTGGCTCAAAAGAAAGAAACACATGGTACTAATTCTGGTGAACTTGGAATTTTTTTTAAACCCACCTCTTTAACATCCTAGGCAAAGAAACATTTTTTTTTTCATTAAGGCAATAGGGGTTAAGTGACTTGCCCAGGGTCACACAGATAGTAAGTGTCAAGTGTCTGGTCTGAGACAGGATTTGAACTCAGGTCTAATGACTCCAGGGCCAGTGCTTATCCACTGTGCCACCTAGCTGCCCCCCAAAGAAACACTTTTTAAGTGAAATGTGCATTGAAAATAACTGCCTTCTAGGCCTTGCTATGCTTTTTTGCCTATTCAGAGATAAACTTATTAATGGAAATTACAAGGACCAAGTTCTTGGTGAAAAAAATAAAATCATTTTTACTAATATTAGTAAAACTAGTGGGGTGGAGCTCATCTAAAAAGTATAATTTAAAAATTTAATTTGTTTTTAATTTCTGAGTCAAAACTTAAAATGAGGATGAATGAAGAGAAGCAAAAGCTTAACAAGACACAGATAAATAACTGTCCTGCCCTATAAGGAAGGACTGTGAGACACAGGTAGGAATCACAATTTATCCTTGACCCTGACTTTGTGAATAATGACTTATGTGGACTCAAGTCCATGGACTTAAGTCCATGCTCTAAATAAGCTTATGCATGGCTAAAATCTTGACAAGCTTATAAATCATCATAGTCACTTGGCCTTGCAACCTGTTGAATTGGTAGGGGTCAATTCCTTATGTTTGATTTCCTTTCCTGGGTTCCAGAACCCAAAGCATTTCTTTTGTTGGCCTCTTTTACCTCTCTGTCACGAGGCTATTTCCTCCAATCCAATGACGGCCATGCTATTCTCTTTAGAGTATAATATTATTTACCATATTTTCCTTTAGTGATAGATGATGTGTACTCCAAGCCACACATTTCCCAGGTAACACTGCCTTCTCTTGCAGATAGTTGAAGTCTACTGATATTTTTTTTGAAGAACTCTGGATTTTCTTTGCTTTTTTCACATTCTAATTTATATTATACTTCTTCATATATATACTGCATGATGATCAACTCTATAGTGTTGTGAGCTTATTTAGTTCTGGGATCATGGTTAGTTTTTCATCTTTATGTCCCATACAAATGGAATAAAGGATATTATCATACAAAAGAATGACGCAAAAAAGAAAATGGACTTGTCACAAAATGAGAGTGAAGGGTGATTGGACAACCTGTGTGTTCTATTGGTATCTTCCTAAGGTCAAGAGGAAGATCCCTAGCACGTTGCCCGACTTCCTATGGCAAATTAGGGGAAGAACATGAACAACAACCACACAAGGTGGGAAGACATAGATGGATTTCAATCTGTATCATAGGAGATAATGTCCTTAGCAATGAGATTACAGACCCATTTGAGAATTAAGTTATCACCTCCTAGCATAGTGCCATATGTAGTAGGAATGCAATAAGTATTTATGCAATTGAATTGAGTGGCTCATGAACAAAGAAAAACATAGGATGAGGGAGTCTGTTCACTTAAAGAGGACTGGAGCCACACAAATTCTTGAAGGCTGTATAGACTTTTTCCTACACTCTATGTACATGATCATGCTTCATGTCTGAAATGCTGTCCCTCCTCTACCTCCTGGATTCTCTGGCTTCCTCTAGGTCTCAGCAAAAATCTTACCTTCTACAGGAAACCTTTTCCATTCCCACCACCCTAATTCTAGTGCTTTCTCTTGATTATCTGCAATTCATCCTGTCTATTTCTTACTTGTATACAGCTGTTTACATGTTGTCTCCCTCACTAGACTCTGAGCTGCTGAGATCAGGTACTGCTGTCTTTTGCCTTTCTTTGGGTCCCTAGCACTTAGCATAGTGCCTTGCACATAGGAGGAGCTTAATAAATGTTTACTGACTGACTGACTGACAATACTTCATGGCAAACATTACCTGGAACATGTAACACTTGAGTAGATTGCAGCTTACCTTACCTTTGAAATTTTTTCCTGTCTTGATGAAATCTAGAAATCACTATGCCTTTTTTGTCTTCTTTACAAATCTTTGTCTATACCACATCAAAGGGTTATACCATAGCTTTGCATAGAGCATAGCCTGAATGTGCTGGAATACCTGAGAGTTAGCTTTACCACTGGTCCTTCCCAGAGTGGCCACCAGCTTTGTGTTCCATGAATACCTATTAATGTTTGAATGCCTAGGCAGCTAGGTGGCACAGTGGGTAGAATGCTGGGCCTGGAAACAGGAAGACTTAGTCAGGCCTCAGGCACCTAGTAGCTATGTAACCCTGGTCAAATCACCTAACCCTATTTGCCTCAGTTTCCTCATCTGTAAAAATGAACTGGAGAAGAAAATGGCAAACTATTCTAGCATCTTTGCTAAGAAAACCCAAAGTGGGGTCATGAAGAGCCAGACATGACTGAACAACAACATGCTTAAGTAAAATGAGTTAAATAAACCTTTATATGTTGTCTAGGGACCTAAATGGTATTAACAACAATTGAATTTCATTTGAAAAATACATTCTGGGTTTAAAACTAACTTAAAAAGCAAATTTTGGAATTTGACCTATTTATAGGTATGAATTGTCCATACACAAAAGTTCAATTACTTAAAATTAAATGACAGGAAGGACAATTTGAAATAGTGATAATTCTGACTTATAGACTATTCTTATGAATAAATGCTCTTTATTCTTTTAAGTACATACTTAAAACTAATCTAATAGTGTTGTTTGGTGGATATCGTTATATGGGATCTCCTTCAATGAATAAATCAGAACAATTTGCAATGAACAGATCAATTATTTGTAGCAAATGGTTATTCTAAAGTACTTAATTTGCTTATTTCAGTACCTTAAATGTTTGTCCTATACTCTTGCTTTTGTTATGAATTTGGTCTTTCTTTGTGGGGGGGGATGGCAAGATTTTGTTAAGTTTACTTAAGCCTCAGCCCAACCCCTATCCAAATTTTTCATTTGCTTTTTTATTTTGAAATGTTTATTCATTTTTTTTACATAACCTTCATTTCTGAATAAATCCTTCTGCCCCACTCTACCCAATGAGTCATTCCTCTTGAAAAAAAATAAAAGAAATATATTTCAACAAAATTAACCTACAAATCAAACCAATCTGAAAATATATGCAATATTACAGACCCATAGTCACCCATCTTGCATAGAAGGACAGGGGTATATTTTATTATCTCTTCTTTGGTGACAAGCATGGTTATTATAATTATGCATTTCGGCTAAATTATTGAGAGTTTAACATTCAGCACAAGGAATGTCTGTATTCTACCCTGGTAAGAATGCATTTGGAATATTGTATTCAGTACTAGTGCCATATTGTACAAAGGACACTGACAAGTTGGAGAGGGCTAGAAATGTTATTTAAGAAACTAAAGGAAACCATTTTATTTAGCTTGAAGCAAAAAATTCATTGGGGGTAGAGCGAGGAGGTGTGTGTCACGATGACTATTTCCAAATATATGAGGAACTCTCATGTAGAAAATGGTTTAAACTGGTCCAATACGACTATGGGTACCAATGAGTTAATTATAACTGGCAGCTTTCATTTACTGTAAGAACTTTCTAACCATTAGAGCCATCCAAAAATTGATCG